TTAGTATTTTTCTGCACTTGACAGGAAAAACTAATTTTTTTCTCGCAGAATTGGTCATTGTGTTTAAATTCTGAGTTAGAGTTATGGTCATCTTCACAAGATGACACAATGACTCAGTAGCAGTGCTCTCAGGATTTCAGATATGAGTTGTGAAATGGAGCTAGTAAAATCCTTCAATGTCAGAAAGAACAATCTCAGACTCTGAAAATGGCCTTAAAATTGGCTCATTATGTACTTTAATTTTACTCTTGGCAAAAGTATAAACTTAAAAAAGTTATATTTGAAATGGACAAAGTAAGAAATACAGTGTGGATTCTGAAGGTATTTTAAGGATAACTGTCATTTCAGGTTGAGATTTTAAGGGAAAGGTGGCAGCTAATTAGTTTCTTGAGATTTTGACACACAAGGTCAAATATCAGAAGTGCTTCTTTTTGCACCATCTTATGAAAAAGGATTTTGTGCCTTTGGGTGGTATTCCCTAACCACATCTAGTTAATATGGGTATCTTGGGGAAAAGATATTTGACATTGAATGTTAGCTGAGAGATAATAGAAGAGCTAGAAGATTAACCTCTTCCCTGTCACTCCCACCTCACATTCTCCATTCTCACTCCCACCCCACATTCTCCATTCCCTGTCACTCCTATCTCACATTCTCCATTGAAGGTTAATCTCTTCAATCAAACCAACAGTTAAAGAGAACATTAAAAGTATATACATATAGAACTATAATGATATTAACTATAATTTCAGAACTGAAAATTACCTTATTTATATTATCACTAGTGTCCTGGTGCACAGATTCATGCACATGGAAAGGAAATTAACTAGAAGAAATATTTTAATATCGCTATTTGCCCTTTCTCTATAATAGAAGTGTCAACCAAATTCACAATCGAAAATGACAGATCAAAACACACGTATGCAATTGGTGCCAGCGAGAGCTTTATATGTATCACACATGCCCAAGTCAACTTAGCCTTTTATATATATAAAATAAACTTGCTTAATTGGACCTGCTTTCTGATTTAGCTAAACTTTTTTCAACCCAGTGAAGCACCCCAACTTCTCTTTCAGGTAATTGTCAGCAGCACAGCAGTAAATATCAACATGAGGCAGATTATTATTGTAGATCACGCAGGGAGAACAAAGGGTACAATACTTAACTGCAGCAGTGTTTGACTATATTCTGCACAGTGAGAAAACCTGAAGTCATTTTCAAGGTCCATTATTTCTTACTTCTTTTCAGTCGGGTCAAGTTTCTAAACTTCCTAAATCTTCATTTTCTGGCTAATGAAAAGAAAATAGTATTCTACCAAGTCTCCTATCTTCCTACTCCAGACTTCTGTGAGGATTAAATGAGATGAGGCACCAGAAAATGCTTCACAGACATTTAAAGGGTAAAATGTTTGCACCTGGCTACAAAGCAGGTCAGTTTCCTGGGCTGAAGAAACTCCAAGGAAGCTAGTTGCTAGGGAGAGGAAGCTGGGTGTTGCTACATGACGTCATTACCAGGCACCCACAGCAACCATTTCCAGGTTGGACTGGGCTGTGGGCTGCATTTTGTGGGGTCTTGGCAGCATTGGCTGTGATTTGGTGGGATGTTGCTCCAGGATGGTGGTGGGGACTGTGTCCCACTTTGGGGAAGCCGAGTGTTGGTTTGTCTGCACCAGGTCCATTGTGCCATTTATTTGTAAATGGCCAGTGCATGTCATGGCACCTCCTGTGTTGAGTGTCTGCCTCCTGGTGGTTTATATATATCTTGATAAACCTCATATTAAAAGAACATCAATATTAAATTATTAAAAAATAGAATTATTCATCCACTGATTCAGCAAATATTTGTTAAGTGCCCATTATGTTCTAGCTACTGTTCTAGGAACAGCTGATGAAGAAAGGAACAAAGTCCCTGCTCCCCTAGGGCTTATGTATGGCAGAATAAATGGGAAAGAAACAGACAAATAAACATAGACCACAATATCATATACAGATAATGTAATAAAGAAAAATTATGTAGGTGAGGATGAGATACTCAAGGAGACTTTAGGATCACCAGAGAAGATTTACTTGAGGAGGCAATAATTGAGCAGAAATTTTTCATTCAGTCACTTGACAAATATTTATTGAACACTCAATATACGTAGGTCACTATGCTTGCTACTGTGGGGTTGCAGAATAAGACAAGCTCTCTGGCTTCTGAGAGCTTACAAACTAGCAGAGAAGTGAAAACTACATAATATTTATTAAAGTGAAACGTGAACAATGTAAGAGGTCAGAAGAGGAAGCTATTTCTTTCAATTCTAGTAATTAAGGAAGCCTACCAGAACAAGATAGGCCTTAGAGAATGGGTGCATGGATAGTAGATATGGGTCTGTGTGTGAAAGGAAATCCATATAGGGATGGAAGAACACATCATGAGTGACGCAGAGCAGTTAGAAGCATGAAGGATGCCTAGAAAACAAGAAAGGTGCTTAGAGGAGAGCAATAAGAATATTGTTTGGATTGACCAAGGAGGCTAAGTCCCTGAATACTCCTAACAGTTCAAAACAGCTCCTGCAAGCAAGGACTTTATTTGAAACCTTATATTTTATCTTTAAAGTCCAGGGGAAACTTGCATTCTCTGATATCAATTCATCTATCCTTATTTTAATGTCAAAAAGATGTTCTCTAAAACTCTTTGAATAAAATGAACATGTAGGAAGGAATTCTGTATGTACCCTGTGGCTTCCAGTAGCCCTATCAAATATTTGGTTGGACATTCGAATTTTATTTTAAAAAGCAAGGATAGAAGAATAGAGAGAAATTTTTCTTAAAAATTGTATTGGACCCAAATATTATTGGGTTTTTAATAACAGGCCACACATTTGAATTTTTTTCATGTAGGAAACTGAAAACTAGTAAATGTTTTCCAACAGAGCATGTGCTTTAACTTTGCTCATGCTGTCTCCCCACTCTGCATAGACTGCCTTCCTCTTTCAAATCCTAGCCATCTATTACGGTTCAGCTCCAATATGACCCCTCCACTCAGCCTTCTGTGATTTTTATACCTGGAATTCCATGGCAGTTTGATCAGTAATTCCTTGGCATTTACCACATTTCATTGCATTTTAGTCATTTATGTTCATGGCTCTATTTCCTGCAGAATAGAGACTTCTACAGAGGAAATAAGAAATGCTTATAGAATAAATGCATTTCAAGAGCTCCCTGAAATGGAGTCAGTCATCTAGTAGCAGGATGGAGAGTGTACCAGAGATGGGAAGACAAGAGGCAGTGAAAGTGATTAAGAGACTGTTACAATTGTTCAACCATGAGGTAGTGAGCACTGAACTAGGAAGTTGTCATTGGCTGTTACAAGTAAAAAGGAAGAGTAAATATATAACATCTCACAAAGCTAGAATCTGAGTATTTTACCTGACTGAGAAAGAGGAAGACATGCAGGAGGCTGAAAGTATGGTCATAATAGGGAATTTAAGGAGGGCTGATATGGAGGGTAGATGAAAATTTTGGATTTTTGATATGTTGCTAATGTGAGCACTATGTGCAACTGCCAACTGGCAAGGGAGAACTATTCAACACTGGAAAAAGTTATAAATGAAGGGAGTTTTAAGAACCATTTATAAGCGAGATTGGAGCTCATGGTGGTCTACAAAATTCCTGAACAAGCTCTTTTGAGTAGAGAGATGGATTGGAAGAATGACAATAAGGAATGTCCATATTAAAAGAGGAGAGAGAAAAGGAAGGGAAAATTGAGAATAGGGAGTGAAAGTCAGGGAGGCAAGAAGAGACCCAGGACATACTAGAAACAAAAGAGTTTATAGGAGGAGAAAGCCACATCCATCAGAGAATGAGGAGTTACAATGACAGGACAATTGGAAGACCATCAGAGCTGTATGAATAGAAGGAAGATCTCTAGGAGATGAAGAGAATAGAGTGAAGTCACCAAGCCTGTGGTTACAGACGCTCATTGAGCTGTGTGTGGCTTTAGAAGGAAGAAGAGGCTTAGTAGAGGCTGGTAGCCAGAGTCCAAATCAAGTGAGAACAGGGTAGTATTAATACCCTCACAATTTCGTTTTTGTGCTCCTCACTTCCCCATCAAGGACCAGGCATTTCATTCTCTGCCCATCCTACCCTGTCCTCAAATTCACCATCAGGACCCCAAGATACTGATCTTCTTAAAATGATTATTTCTGTTCAAAATGTATCTGTCCTGTGTACCATTCCTTTGGAGTGGCATTTTCCAAGTGTGTTCCACAATTGGTAGTTTTTTTAAAAACATATTTTATTGATTTTTTACAGAGAGGAAGGGAGAGAGATAGAGAGTTAGAAACATCGATGAGAGAGAAACATCGATCAGCTGCCTCCTGCACATCTCCCACTGGGGATGTGCCCGCAACCCAGGTACATGCCCTCGACCGGAATCGAACTCGGGACCCTTCAGTACGCAGGCCGACGCTCTATCCACTGAGCCAAACCGGTTTCGGCCAATTGGTAGTTCTTTATGACACTGTATGTGAAAGGACTCTGTGGTCAAGTAAGTCTGGGAAATGCCTCAGGGTATGTTAACAAGTCCTGGATGCTCTGATGAAAAGAAATCTTGTCAGTTTTGTTCAAACTACAAAATATTATGTGTTCACAGACTCATCCCCTTTTTCATAGTCACAGTCACAAAACTCTTAGTGGCTCCATACAGGGAAACCTTGCAGTAGGGTTCTGGTGATGAATAATTAATCTGATAAGTGCATACATGTTTGGTATTAGTGATTGTGAAAGGATAATCAACCTTTTAATACTAAGTATTTATAATTTACCAGAGAATTTAATGAGAGTATCCAAGAGAAAATTTAATACGGGAAGTTCAGTAAATGGATCTCATGTGGGGATTATGTTTTGGATAGTGTAGTATTTTAGACCTCTCAAGTCACACCGCCCACGTTGACAATGGCTACTCAATATCTCTATTATATTTAGATCCCCACCTAAGTTGTATATCCTTTTTACTAGGGCTATAACCGTGTTTCGACCTCAGAACTTCAATCAATTTTTCATCCACCCGGAGGAATGGGAAGGAGGGATACAGCACCGGGATGATATCATTTGTGCTGCATTCTTACCTCCACAAACGCTTGCTACAGGTTAATTAAACCTTCACTTGACAATCAATGGTGAAAGTTTGGTTTCTTTTATCTCACTCACTTAAAAACAAAAACAAAAAAATAAAATAAAAACTTTTCCCAACTGCAAAGTGAATAGATTTTTTTTCATTCAAAGCTACTCTTGGTCCTTATTTCTAGGGCACCTGAGCCTGGCTACCTGACTTTAGATGCTATTTTCACCACTTGCAACTCATGGTATTGGGAAAGTTATTTAAATCAGTCTTCTCTGTGCCACAGGGCTAACAATAGTGTATCTATATCTTATTTTATAGTGAAGATTGAATATGATCATCTGTGTAAGGGCTTACCTCAGTGTTCGGCAAACAGTAAGCTCATCAGTAAATGTTAGCTTTTAAAAAAAATTTAAAAAATTGATTTCAGAGAGGAAGGAAGAGGGAGAGGAGAGAGATAAAAACATCAATGATGAGAGAGAATCATTGATTGGCTGCCTCCCACTCACCCCCTACTGGGGATTGAGCCTGCAACCTGGGCATGTGCCCTGACTAGGAATTGAACTGTGACCTCCTGGTTCATAGGTTGATGCTCAACCACTGAGCCACACCAGCTGGACGTAAATGTGAGCTTTTATTTTTATTGTCCTTTTTCCAGGAGCAGCATTAGGGCTCTTGGATACAAATCACACTTCTGTGGCACTCAGATGGTTTATAATGGTAATGTATTAACCCTTTGGCACAATGTAGTCAAAGTGATATTGGTTAAAGACTGGCCTCATAAAATGTCGACAAATTTAAGTTCTTAAAAGGATCCATGGACAGACTTTGATGTGACATATTAAGGAGAAACAGTCATTGTTATGTCATTTCTGGCCAAAGAAAACAATTTATAAAGGCAGATCACACCATGAAATTAACAAGTCCATATTTTGACAGCCTACTCTTTTTTCTTTTTTTAGAATCAAAAAATGTCATCAATTAAGAGGAATGAAAGCTTACAGGAAAACAGCCAGGATAGCTATGAAGTGTTGCAATATGAAGTTTACTGCTCTATCTGCACTTGAAGTTGCAGTGTTTTTTAGGACTTTCCTGATTACCTTCCAGCACAGCCAACACTGCTATTCAATTTGCTTTATAGCTGCTGGAAGTCCACCCCCGCAGGGAGTAGCTCATACTGCAGGATAATGGGAACAATCTGTAAGGCTGTAGAGCTGTTATTCTGAAGTGTCATAAAATACCACTGTAATTGGTGAATAGATGATGTCTTCATTCATTCTCATCCCATCAGTCCTATGTGCAAATGTTTGTTTAAGTCCTTTGAGAGTCGGACATTTCAAAATCACAGGAGAAGATAGGTGCTCTGATGGACAGCTAATCTATGGAGATATATCATCCTTGGTCAATTTATGAGTTGCACAGGGGGCTCTCCCCAGGACAGGACAGGACTTAGTATGGATTATTCTCTTCTCTCTCCAAATCCCAAGAAAGTCACCATATGTACACCCCACTCAAACTCAGCCTTTCCCTCTGCTCTTTACTGGATTTTGACACTCTGCTCAGTAGGGAGCTGTCCTCATTGAGCTGCTGAGAGCAGAGACTTGGTCAGACTTAGCCTCATTCATTGGGTTTTTCTATGTTCTCTGCGATGAGCAGTAAGAAGAGACTTTCTGTAGAGAAAACTTTAGGATTGGAGAAAGTAATATGCAACAAATAATATAGGAGGGAGGGAATGAAAAGAAGACACATACATCAAAAAGGAGATATGGGAAACAAACCTAGAGAAATTTGATTTGGCTGCCCTCACTCCTTAAAAAAAGTATGATAATTATTAACACTTTTTTGGTACTTATAATATGCTAGGCACTATTCTAGGTACTTCTCATTTTGCACATCAACCCTAAGAAATACAATTTTAACCCAATTTTTAGATGAGGAAATTGTGACATCATGTAATTAAATAACTCGCCCAAGCTTACACAGCTAGTAGGTGGCAGAACGAGGACTCAAACTCAAGGTGTTTAATTGCAAAGCCCTTATTCTATAAAATAAAAAGATAGAGTAATTTTACCATACGTAATGCATACATATGTTTTAAAGATTGTAAGTTCTAAATTTTAATAAAAATACTAATTTTACTATTCACTTGTCTCCAAAAATATATAGAGGACCTACTATGTGACAGATTCCATGTAAGATCTTATACTAATGACTTCTTCTCATTGCTGTTGCTCATATTCCTCTAACTTTCTGGCAATTTATGTTCTCCATGCTGGCTCATATAGGGAGTTATGATGGAGAAATCGTTCTGTGGAACAACAGCACAGGAAATGCTCACTATGTCCTTCATCCCGATTACCAGAGGCTGCTACAATCAAAATCAGGTGAGTGCAAGTTTGAAACTAAAATAATGTGGCTGAGTCAGGCCACAGCAGGCCTGGTTGTTTATATATGTACTGTTGCAGCTAGCTCCTAAATTATAGATGATTGGCTATAAGCGCAAGGGATTAGTGATATTGTTGTCTTGTCAAAGTGACTTTAAAAAATTCTTGAGATTTACTTGGCTTAGCAAATTCTCCTTGGCATGACATTTTTTTCTCCATATACTATATCAGTGCTTCTGAATTACTGACAGCGGGGAGCAGACTCTCATTTCTATCTAGTTTAGTTGTTGCCAATAAACTTCACCAAATTGCCTTTGAGTGAACCTTGGGTACCCCTTGGTAAAAAAATGGGAACTCATGTGCACTTGATTGGCTGTTCAGGCTCAGTCTAGAGCTTGTATTAAATATTATGCCACCTGGAAATCTTAAATTATTTCTTGTTTTAGCAACTTGTGGGAGCGTTAGATGGGAGTATATTGTATTTTATGGGAATTTAGCAGAGCACATGAATATTTTATACTTGAGCAAAATGTCCTAACAATTGCCTTTCACATTTTATTTTAGTTTTGTTAGATACTAAAGATTTTTCCTTAGACTAATTTATTTGAGTAATGAATATGTAATTTCTCATGGCCCAGCACGGTTCTCTTGTCTCAATTGGATAAACTCACAAAGGCTGAATTGGACCGTAGGAAAAGACTGATCATTAGATATAGTTTTTGTTTTTTGTTTTCGTGTGTGAAAAGTTGAGGGACTGATTTGATCAGAGTAAAGCAACATAGTTAAGAGATTTAGTACTTACTAGCCTGCAGGACCCAAATTCTGACCTGCTTTATGTACAAGGAGCTAAGTATTAGGGCTCATCTGGACCCTCCATGGAGAGGATGGAATTCTGCTTCTTCCTCTATATTGGCCTTCAGGGGAGCACCATCTTGGTCTCATGGCAAACCTAACTGTGGCCACAATTAAAGCATAGAGGTAGAAAATAAGGGAAAGCAGATAGCATCAAGTTTCTAAAAGCCACGAGAGGCATTGCTATAGATTTCTTGCCTTAAAAATTTGAAGATACTTCTGTATAGATTTTTCATAACTGTGTGCAGACTATTCATACATCCTAAGATGAATATCCCTAGTTTTTATTAGTGTAGATTGGAGATAGTGTCATGAAATAATCAAAATCCCATTAGGAATGCCCTTTCCAAGGTAACTCACTAATAAATAATATTGCTAAAATGATTGTTTAAATATATTTAAATAGTTATTATGTCTCACTTTATTAAATTATTTGCAAGGTTAATATTCATGATTAATAAGCTGCAAATGCTATGATAATAGAATCACATTTGTCTTGAATATATCAAGATCTCTAAGATGTGACTCTAAAATGAAGTACTTATGAATTCATATCAAGGGAAAACTCTGTAAGTGTGTATGGAATATGCAAACAAAAAGGCAATCAAACAGTCCTTCAAGTTGGGCTTGAGAAAGTGAATAGCAGACAGCTGATGGATATTGAGTGGAAACCTATTCTGAGACTTGATGGGGTCATCTGAGCCTGTGATGAAGTGGGCCTGTTGTTGTTCATAAGCATTTGTTTGAAAAGCAGATGTTTCTGTTTATTAAGACACCTGGCTTTGTCTCTATCACACATATAGAGCCTCAAAAGCTCCTCAGTGCTGGGAGGAGCTGCTCCAGCCGCCCCACAGCAGAGCAGGCTACCCTGGGAGCCAGCTCCTATGAGACTGGCACCGAGTGCGATAACGCTGTGATGAGGCTTTGCTTCCTTGAAGCAAGAAAAAACACTGCAGCGACAGGTAAACTGTATACTTATATTTTGACTGCAGAGTGCTTTGATATATTGTAAAATGTTGGCAAAGGTGCAATAAAAAGAATTCAATGTAATTGTATCTAAGCATTGTAGAGTTTGACTGTGTCTAGCTAACAGTCAGTACTGGGTCATGGGAGGCCTTGACTGCGAATGAAGTTAGGGTTCAGGAGGGTGGGTCCAAGAATAGGAGCTAGACTAGATGCCATCAGCAATATAGACAGTATTGCATACACAAGAATCAGAGTGAGAAAAACTCAGGCAGGCTACTTACTATGGGCAACAATCAGAACTGGTGTTCCAGCCACGACATAAAGAGGTTTGGTAGGGCAGAAGGCACAGTAAGAAATATGCAATACCAGATGACATACCATAGAATTGTACACTTGACACCTATACAATCTTATTAACCAATGCCAGCCCTATAAATTTAATTTCAAAAAATTAAAAAGAAGAAAAATGCTCCAAATATGTGAGGTGAGCGTAGGTCTACATGCAGCAGAATGTGGGACAGCACTGGCACCTGGTTCAGATGGGCTGGGAGCAAATAGTGAGAAACTTGGAGATTGGAGGCAATAGCAAAATTTAAAATAACTGCCTACTTTTGGTCTTAATAATTTGGAGAGGAACTTACACTTTGGGTATCTTTACCAGCTGTGCATCAGGGTCCTCGTTAGAGCTTCTGCTGAGAGGTATGCCAACACTGGTGCTGCCACATGATTTACTGTAGTTATTTAATAGAATACAGATGAAATACACATTTTCTTAATTTCTCGTCTGTGTTCAATGGCTATGTTATCTTAGTGCTAATTCAGCCTGTGTTTACCCAAAATAAAAATCTCCTTTTGAGAATAATGCATATTTTTTACTTTTTATCTAAAATATATATATTTTAAAAGTGCCTTTTCTTAACGTTAGGAATCTAGACATATATGTGTTATATGTTTAAAACAACATATCTGAACCATGTTTTTTTTAAAAAAAAAAAAAATATATATATATATATATATATATATATATATATATATATATATAATCAGAGAGGAAGGGAGAGTGAGAAAGAAATACAAACATCCATGATAAGAGAATCATCCATTGGCTGCCTCCTGCATGCCCCACACTGGGCCCGCAATCAAACCCTGACCAGGAATCAAACCATGACCTCTGGTTCATAGGTCAACTCTCAACCACTGAGCCACATTGCCTGGGCTGCACTATGTTTTCTCTATTCGTTTTTTCATATTCAATTTATAAGTAGAAAATCTGCATGATTTTCATATAAAATTTTCAACATTAAAATTGACAGTTATAATCCTATAAAGCTTTAGAAGCACTGGAATATTTAGAGTAGATTTTGAAACATATTCTAAAACTTTCTATTTTCTGGAACTCACTTATACTCACAATATGAACTATTATCCTGAAATTGCTCTCCAGACTAATTCTTCTTAATGTTATCAGTGTTCCTAAATTGTTTCCACTGAAGCAGCTACATGCTATTATTTCTACTTTAAGCAGATTTGATTGTTAATCGGCAGTACATTGGTGAAGCAAATTGAAAGTCATCTACAGATTTATCAAATAATAATAGAAACTTTGCCACAGAAGAATAATTTATATAAAGTGCTTCTACAAAGCATATACAAATGGAAAATGAAAGGTTAGTTCTAGGCCTATGAACCAAAAAAGTGTCTCATAAGAGCGTACAATAAATTCTTGATTAAAAATGTAAAAATAAGCTCATAAATAGGATTCTAAGCATGCTACTATACAGAGAAATCAATGATCATGCTGCTATTGCTACATATATGCAGCCAGATCTCTGCATAAGGAGCTTTACTTCTTTGGTATTTGTGTCCAATACGTTATTAAGAAAGTTGGGTTTTATGTAATCATATCATCATCAAGTTGCAATTAATATCTTATAAGTTTATTTGAAGGAATAAGTTAATTCTGTGTAAAATTTAAAAACCCAAATAATATTAAAATAATGAATGAAGGAAAGGAAACTAAATTTAATGGAGGATCTTATATACCTTATTTCATTTAATATTCAACATGCCCCAGTGAGGTTATCATAGGGTTATCTCAATTTTATATTTGAGAGAATTAAAGTGCTGGGAATTGATCTCAGGGCTACCCACCTCTACAACATGCTATGCTTTCACAGGGCAAGCCACTGAAGTTGTTTCTGTAATCATTGCCACAGCTTCCTAACTAGGTGATTCTTTTCCTGTCAGGAGGTGCTAACTTGGTGTCATGTGGAGGATCTGGGTATGTCAGACTCTGGGATACATTTAAGAAACAACTTCTTGCTGAATTTTTGGCTCATAGTGGAGTTGGATCTATTATTATGGCTACTGATAAGCTGAATCAATACCTCGCCACAGGAGATCTTAATGGATGTTTGAAAATATGGAATATAGAGGTGATTTGAAAACAGTCTACATCCACTTTGACTGCCTTTTGTTGCAGATAACTATGAATCCAGTCTTGTCTGTTTCCTAGATAAAAGAAGAAATATTCATTCTGAGTATTTTATTTATTTTTACAGCAATTATTTTTAATTTTAAAAACTTTTTAAAAATAACCGTTGACAATCAATATTATATTAGTTTTAGATGTATAGCATAGTGGTTAGACTATTTATATAACTTACAAGGTGATCCCCCTGACAGTCTGAGTATTTTAAAGGAAACGTTTACATGTATTGAGCAGAGACTTCTCTTAAATAATTTATAGAGAAAACCAGATTTTCCTTAGTATTAAAAATCTTCTCTTAAAATACACTCAAGTCAATCAACCAATTTAGAAAAGGACTATTGTCAGTAAGATACTGCAACATCATTTGAGCATAAATAATTTGGATATACCTTCTTTTAAGCAAGACTTTAAACATAATTTAAATGGAGTACTGGTCCTTCACCTAACATTATTGTCATCCTGAATTAATGTGGGATTTTTGTGTCACCGATTACCTCCTCAATTTTCTAATAATATTATAAAGTTGTATAATATGTGACTACCTATATGTGATAAAGTTCCCCTGTATCAAATAACTGACTTTACTTTTCATCGTTTTCTTTTCATCTTCCCGCTCCCCCTCCTTCGTTTCTTTCAATTTTTCAAGTTAGTTAGGTCAGGTAGAAACCTTTTTTTGAGTGTTAGTGTCATTTTTCTAACCTCTGTTATCATGAACTATTCTTTTGCATTTGGATCACAGATTATTGTTCCCAAATGGACCTTTTCATTCCTGTATCAGACTTTTTTAAAAAGTATTATGTCACTGTGATAATTTCACATTTGGACTCTTTAGAATTCTGGCATTTCTTTTCATTCAGGAGTACTGCCTCAATTCTAGTAAGAGCAGAATCACACAGGCCCCAACTCTGATAAGGTCGTTCCAACCTCACGAAGACCAGATAAGTTCCTTAGAGATGTGCTCGCCGGGTGGCAGTTCGCTGATTATCTCCTGCTCCGTAGACTGCAGCGTTTGTGTGACTGATGTCTGCGGCGCACCTGTCTACATCTTCGGTCAGGTAGAAATATTGCTTGTTTATTATTCCAGTATTTACTTGACATTTAGTATGAACTTGGGCTGATTTCCATTTGAATCTCATCAGCTGTTGATGTTCATTAGTCATGAAAGAACTGACTTCCATTCTGGAGCTGGAGCTGTAGGCATCTCTCGTCCTGTTTACCATTAACCATGGCAGTTCCATCAAGTGGAGGACACCAGAGACAGGGAAAGATGCTCTGTGCAGCTAAACGTATTCCAGGATTTTTGAGAAAAAAGTTCTCTAAAATAAGTGGATTCTTTACATTTCAAAATTGAGTAAAAATACAATGTGGAGAATATTAGCATGTTATATGAAACAGATGACTCTGACTGTCGAGTAATAATCAAGGTAATAATCAAATAGAACATTTTAGAAAAAACAAACCTTGCTCTTCATCATCTGGTTTACTCTTGTGAAAATAATAATAGCTAACATTTTTTGAGTTTTTCCTGTATTCCTGGGGCACTGTTCTAGGTCTCTATATGAATAATCTAATGTAATCTTCACAATTGCCCATCCATTACGGAAGAACTTTCATTAGTACTATTTTATAGGTGATAAAACAAAGGTACAGAACTCACAGAAGCGAATAAATAGTAGAGTTTTGCTTTTAACTCAAGCTGGCTATATCAGAGTTCATGCTTTTAACCCTGTGCTCCCATGAAAGTAAGCTCTCATGTGTAGAGGGGAAAATACCAAAGTGGGGGAATGGATGAAAGGAACTATTCATCTTCTCACCTTTCAGTTCTTTATTCTGTTTGTTTTTATGGGACCTCTGCTCCTGTTCCTTTTGCGCTCTGGGGAACAAAGTCTTGGTTTGATCTGTTTCAACCAGGACTGTTCGAACATGGTGTGTGAGGTTACAGACATACTTTCATTTCTGTCTGGCTGGTTGGCTTGGTTCCATTCGGCCACCTCGGGTGCCATTCTCATGCCGTGAGAGTACAAAGCAGTTCTCTTCATTTTGGAAGACAAAGTCTGTTGTTGCTCTATGTGTGAAGTCAGTTTGATGATGTCAACCTGTGTGGAAAGAATTCTGTACAACCTTTCGGGACGTGAAGGGTGAGGGTAAGTCAGAAATTAATCTGGGGAGGTGGACCCACGGTTGGCCGGGTACCCTGGGCGTCTCAGTGTAACGCTCCAGAGTTGCACCGTCTCTCCTGCTCTGCAAATGAGGCAGGTGCTGGACTTTCTCAAGGAGAACAGCATCTGAGTGGGAATCAAACGAGTGTGTGTAGGTGTGTAGTGAGTGAGACAGAGTGGGGCACGCTGGCATTCTGAACACACATGAGGTGGGAAGCTGTTTTGGGCAGTTGAGAAGTTAATGCAATGCCAACATTGCTGTACGGACAGGCCACATGGGTCACATGAGCTGAGGTGAGGTTAGAATGACAGGTAATCAAAGCATCATCAAGCGGGTGACATCCAGAATATAAGTCTCCCAGATGGGATTGAAGCAAGAATAAGACTGTTCTATGTGCGGGTGCCATAAACTGTGCCCACCAAACAAAGTCTGTACCTAAATTTTATTTTAATTAAGAAGTATGTGCTAGTAAACTGTTCATTTGTATGCCTTGATATTTTTCCTTAGTTGTTTTGTAAAGTCTTTTATATTTTGAAGGACATCAGCCTCCAAAACCCTGCATGAAAATTGTGTTTTGTTTTTTTCCTGCTGTTGAAGACAGAAAAAGAGTCGGTGTAGTTTTATAAAGTAAAGTCTGGCAAAGCAGGGACAGCTGTGTTTTCTAGTCCCTTCTGCTTGAGCTGTTAAAGATGTTGTTAAGACCTTTTAAAAAAATCAAACTGTCTTGAAAAGGGTGCTGCTAGTCCCTAATGCAGGAAAGGGGAAGGGAGGGAGGGAGGATGGAAACAGAAAAATAGCAGATACTGGAGAATAGTAACAGTGAATGTCCTTCAAGTGTGTAAAAAAGAGACACCCTTTTAAGTAAGATAGGGGAGTTAGACAAAAACATGTAGATAAGAAGAGCCATTTAGTAAATATAACTAGGATCAGAACAATTTTTACTGAACAAACTTGATTTGGAAAGCATAGTGCCTTTTTGCCCTACATTTGAATGGCACATTTGTCTTTTAGTTGAATCAATTCTGGGTTAGCAGTTATAAAACAGGAGGAAAGCATTAATATATTTTAATTTCCCATGTTAAAACTTAATTTTCAAATCACATACAGTCTGATTAAAGTGTTTAAAATTTAATGCAATGTGATTCTACATATTTCATGAAAGAAGTGTTTTTAATCACTGTGAATCACTTTTACAACATAGTTATTGATCGGAGATTGCTTTTCAAGTTAGATTTGTAAAAGTAAGTGGTTTTGTATGTCTATTTATAGAGCTGGAGAAATGGGAGTGGAGATGATTTAACCATAGAGATACATTTATCCCAGGAAACTGTCAGGTGATTGTGGTAGAAAAAGAAATTAGACACTGTGTGCAGTCCTTCAGTGCCTTTCCTTTAGCACTCACCACAGTTGGATTGGGTAGAATTATTTTATTGGCACTTCTCCTCATCTGGGGGCCAGTGACTTTGTTCCTCTTCACCCAGTGTTTAAAATTTGATTTAGTTGTCCTCATTTAAAAATAAAAAGATTTCATATAAGATCCAGATTTCTTGCTTCTCTTGAAAAAGAACATGTCATTCCCTGAGAGAAACTGTAAAATGGATTCTCTCTAATCCAGTAAGGCCGAATCTCATTTGCCACTGATCATCTTAGATGAGCCTTGGTTCATTCATTGTTATTATCCTCCTGGCGTTTGTCAGCATTTCACTTTGCATGCCCTTTTGACAAGGTTATCAGTTTGAAGGTCACTCAGACATCCTAGGGATACCTGATGTTACCTTTCTATCACTCTGGCTATGTTCTCTGGTGCATTCCTGTGTATACAATGTGAATTGATAGAAGACAAGGAAATGGATTCTATATTTAAAATATAAAATAGATTGTCATTGGTATTATCATTTGGGTATATGGATACATATTAAGAATTATAGTCAAGATCTGTGAAAACTATTATATAACATAATAGAGGCCCAATGCATGAAATTTGTGCAAGAGTAGGCCTTCCTTCCCCCAGCTGCTGGCACTGGCTTCCCTCTGGCACCCGGACCCAGGCTTCCCTCACAGAGGAAAGCTTGCCTCGGCCCTTGCAGCCCCAGCTTCATCTGGAAGGTCTTTGGAAGGACCTCTGGTCTAATTAGCATATTAAACTTTTATTATTATAGATATTTTGGGGTGAGGGGTGCTCAATATTTTAGGAAATAAGATGAAAAGAAAGTAGTTGTATCAAAAATTAACTCTGACAATTCTCAACAAAAACTTTCTTTGTTTTTCTTTTTAGTAAATATTCATCTTACTATTCAGGATTTTTAAAGAAAGAATGTCAATTTTTTGTACTTCATTATTATCTTTTCAGGGAATTTCTGTTTCTATGACTCACTTTCTACCTTTATTAAAGTTACATGTATGTGTCTTATCCTCCCGTATAAGACTATAAGTTTCTGGAGAACAGAAACCATGTCTTATTCTTTTATTGTGTGTGTCCCCAACTTTAATTCATAGTGTAGCATATGAATGTTCAAGGAAAAAAATCATAAAAAAAATAAATCTCTTTGTTTTTATAGGCAAAGCATTGGCAACTTGAAAGCTGTTTTTCTTTCCCTAAGAAGGATAATAATTTAATGGAAAGTGAGATTCAAGAAGAAAGCATAAGGGAAACTGCTTCACTTTCTAATGAGGAATCATGCTTAGACCCAACAGAACATTCTCTACTTGATAAAAAAGACAAAGATGAGCCAACATACAAGTAAGTAATTTTAAGTGTTACCAAGATGTCAACTGGCGTCTAGATAAGACTTAGGTAAGATTGGCCCAAACTCCTCATGTTCTCTGTGCAATGTCCAATGATGACCTTGAGATTTTTCTAAAATTGGGGGGATTGATAGGTTTGTGTGTGGCAGGGAGAGAATGTATGTCCTCAGGGTTATATATGGTTCTGATTTCTTGCCTCCATTGAATTCTTGATTTCTATTCAGTGTCTTCCAGTCCTTTGCTTCTGCTCTATCACCAATCTCAATGTGGAAACTTGCCTCTTTCCTAAAAAACAGTGTGTGTGTGTATGCATGTATGCATCTGTCTCAGAATGTATGTCAGGTTTTACTCCTGGTTTTGGTAACTTTCACAGAAGCTTGTATGACAGAACTTGTAAGAGATCAACTTTGATTATTAGACATGACTCTCCTTTGAATGCTTCTGGCCTTTCCTTCATGCTGTTCAGCCTTTTCTTCTCTTTGCACCACTCTGCTAGATCCCATTATTACATTCCTCTTTCTCTCTCATGCCAGGCAGCTTCAGTTATTTCTTTTGTTTCCTATAGTCTTGCTAACCCATGCTCTTTTAATTGTACTGTTCACACTAAACAACTATTATTTTTTGAAAGGTTGCTTTTATTCATTGTATTTTCTTTCATATGATTTTTTTTACCATACACATATAGGATTGTAGAAAAATTGCACACAAAGTATAGAATTTCTACATACCCCACCTTACCCCACCCAGTGTCTTGCATTAATGTGGTCCATTTGTTAGAATTGATGAATCAATATTGATACTTTATTATTAATTTAAGTCCATAATTAAGGGGGTACCGTTGTGGCTTCTTTGAGGACCCCACTCAGAGACCTCAGCATTGCACATTTACAAATCAATGCATCTTTGGCCAGTCTCCTGTGGCTCTACCCCTCCCCGCCCCCAGTTGGGGTTACCTTGGGAAATACACATCACAGTGTTTTTCTGTTGCAGTGTACCTGCTTTGGTAGGCCTTCCCTCTCCCACAACTCCTCTAGGGTTAACTTCTGCTTGGCCAATAGAAAGCTCACTCATCCTTGCCACACCAACTGCTCCCTGGTTGTCTCCTCTAACCTTACTCACCTGGGTAGCTCCAGCCATAGCTTTTTGCCTGTAGACTTTTGCAGGCATTAATGAGCCTGTGTCCCTCTCGTGATTTCCGCAGACAGCACACATTAAACTCTTTGATCTGTGTGAATGCAGGCTAGAAGTGAAGGGGAAGCTTCCCTTCACTCTCTCTGGAGTGGGCCTCAGGGAACACCAACGCCTCCTCTCCTCTCTTAGGTTATTGCATATTGGGTCTGTTTATATCCTAGAAAGGTGGTTGGCCTGGGTTTCACCAGGTTGGTTTTGGAGGTACTTCAGGAATATGGGACAGGTTTTACTTCTTAATTAATTATTTTGCTTTCAGACCTTTTGGACCTCTGCTGACAGGGAAATAGAAGGGGGGGAGGGGAAGCCCCTTTAAAAGTTTCTGTTGCACTAAATTACATTTTGGTATTTGTTCTTCTATTTCCTTGAATTATAGCATGCTGAAATGTCAAGTGGCATTTTACTTTCAAGCAGAATGATCTTTTCAATTGAGAAATATAGCTTGACCAATCCTGTACACTAATAGAATTCTGGGAATGGAAAGACTTTCAATATGACAGAATGTCCCCACCCAGCTATTCAACGCAATGTTATAGATCAGGAAATAAAGTTACCCAGGATCATACAGATAGATCATTGTTTCTCTTCCTGTTACACTCCTAAAAGAATAAAGGCAATTGTTACAGATTCCTGTTTAAGAGTATTTCAGCCAATATATTAATTTTCCCTTTCTTGTGACAGACTGTTATTATTATTTTTTTAAATAAGCCTTTCCCTAGAATTAAAAGATAGCAATTTGAACTATTTACTTCTTTCTTGACTTCTATCTCATCTTATTACATTTACTATTGTTGCATGACACTTTGTGTTATGAAAATTAGTGCTGATACATAGGTTTCTAAATTCACAGATTTGTCTTAAATCTAGAGCTTTGTATTCTGCCAGAGTAGATAGGTGTGCAGCAGAGTGATTTTTCTCATCTTGGTTGTAAGTTTCTGTAGGCCTTGGGAGAAATTTCCAGCAGTAAGAAGCAAAGTTATCTCTATTGTACTATATCTTGTCAAATGACAATGCACCGAAAAATACCTGTGATCTTTGAAATGTATGACTTTACCTAAGTTAGAAGACTGGATTGAAATGATTTTAAGACTTTGCAGTAATGAAATAGAATAGGATAATGTCATTTAAGAATTATTAAACAGATTGAGAGAAAAAGGTAAAAAAATGTATCTTCAGAAGTGACTGTCAGGTTACTTCTTACCTCTCGCAGGAGGTTTGTGTGGAAAACATACAGGTGCAAAGTCATGGTCAGCTGTAAAATGTTTTTCATGGCCTCTGTCCAATATTGAAGAGACTATTTTCTCCCTAAGAAAAGATTATTCTAAAGAATGTGCTGTTTTCCTAATCAGATTAAATCCAAGGAGAGAATCATACCAGTTCTTGTCCATATGCAAAAATATGAAAAAAAATATGTAAAGGAATTTAAAGAGATGAGAGGGGGGAAAATACTTTCTGTATATGTGTATGCAGGCAGGGGTATGTTTAATGGAGGAGTTAAACAGTAAGAAAGATGGAGACGCAAAAAGAAAAAGCCAATAAAAATGGGAGAAGCAGGCAAAATGAAGAAAACAATTTAAAAATTTAAAACTGTGTTCTCATTTTAACACCTAAGATTTTTTCCCCAGGATAAAAACCTTGGCATAGGTTTTCTTCTGGTTTATACATGCATACCAGTTTCCCAAAGTGCTGAAGGTATTTTATAATATTATGTCTGAGAAGTAGGTAGGTGTTTAAATGTCATTTTCTATTTAAGCCCTGGGGAAATGAAGATGAATATAGAATTTCAGAGAATAAGGAAGTCCTAATGCTAAGTTAACAATTGATACAGAGAAATAGATTTTGCCCTCCCATAAGTTCTACAAAAATTACCATTAGAAAATGAAAAAAAAGAGGAAGAAATAAATTAAAGTATAAAATAGGCAGCAGAAACTACAGTGGACATGCATTTTTCTTAGTTTATGGCAATATTTGGTTTCTGAATTCACAGAAAATTAATCTAGAAAAATACACACAAAATAATTTAGAAAATATAACCTTAGGGTATTTTTAATATAAAAATAATACATGTTCATTAGGGAAAATTTGCAAGTACAAATAAGCAAGGAGAAGAAGATAAAGAGAAATCACCTATAGCAAAGCCATTGCTAAGACTTAGGAATTTTCACTCTCCTGGCTTGTTCTGGGCATACTTATGCTAATAAATAAATGTGCAGTGTATAAAAATGATGATTTAGTATACATAATTTATAACCTGTGTTATCACTCAAAAATATACAGCAAGTTTATTCCTGTATTTTTAATATGAGTGTCCACAGACACCAACATTCATTAATGATTCCCTAGAAATGTATCATGTGGCTTTTTAACCATTCCCTTCTTTTCAAACATGTAGACTGTTTATAAATTTTAAGTGGGAAAACATTTCTTTAAATACTTTCATATGCAATTGTGAGAGCAATGAGCTGAATTCAACATTAGAATAAATTCTTTGAGATGGAGTTGCTGAGTGAAAAGTGTCAAAGGCCCTTGGGTCATCTTGCTAAAATGCTGCCTCTACACCTGGGCTCTCTCTCCAGCGTATATGAGAATGGCTGCCTTCTGAACCAACACTGACTGTTGTCATTGTCTTAAAACTGTTGCCATGATCTTTCATTATTGTTTTAAATTGCATATTTTAATTGTTTGTAGAAGTGAACATTTTTTTCACATGCATATTAACCTTCAATAATTCAATAGCGAAGTTGAGATAGTAGAAGTCTATGAAACTAACTCCTGTGACAGCCTTAAGAAAAGCATATCCCCAGCCTCCTCTTGAATAATTGCTATGGGATGTGCTTACTATCTCACAGTCGCCATTCTGTTATTGAATCACTCTTTATTATAGAACTAGAGGCCTGATGCATGAAATTCATGCAAGGGGCTCAGCCCTCACAGCCACGGTGGCTTGCCTCGACCCTCACAGCCAGGGCTTCATCTGGAAGGTTGTCTGGAAGGACATCTGGAAGGATGTCTGGTCTAATGAGCATATTATGCTTTTATTATTACAGAATGGCTCTGATGCTAAAGTCAAATCTGTCCATTTGTAAGGTCTCTTTCATTGATCTTCATTCTTATATTAGAACAATGAAGAGCGAGTCTTTTCTGCCTGATTTTATCTATCAATTTTCCTTTGGCTATCATTAAAAAGTTACTTATGGGGATAGGGTTAATTATAAGAAGCCAGGATTTAAAAACCAGATAGAAAATGAAACAAATTTCCATTTATTTCTCAGTAAGTTTATATAGGCAGAAGGCATAATTAAAATGAATGGTTTTTAGACATGTGAAATAATTATGATGTTCTAAATTCTATAGTACAGTGATGAGGGAACTGATATTTAATATTCTTTATATGCTATTGATTACTTAATTATTCTGCCAGTAGGTTGTATGTGAGAAATTAAATTGGAAAATTTATGGCCAACTATAAGGGAAAAAATACACAAAGCAATAAAATCTAATTTTAAATCAGGTCTTATGTGACATAAAACACTTGGAGGACTGACAGTCTCCTTTCACCAACAATCCGTGGCAAGAACTATCATACATACATGCATGACAAATGAAAGCAAATGGAAGTCTACTCAATTTTTGAAATTTAAGTCTTAAAAATACTTGTACAGCAAATTATTATCTCTGTAAATGCTGTATGTCCTTATTTTTTGTCTCATCATTCTGCTGGTTCCTAGGAGTCTTAGAACTGGCTGTAGGGAGTATTTGAATTCTCTGCTTTGAGTAGAAAGAATTGTCTCTTTTTACTTAATGTGATAGTAGCCAATACTTATTAAGCTCTTAGAATAATCCAGGCACTGTTCTAGGTCTTTATGTGTTTAGCTCATTTAATTGTCACTGTAATCCTTAGAGATAGCTACAGTTATGACCCCTGTTTCATGACTAGGGAAGCAAGTACACGGAGGTTAAATGATTCACCCAGTGTCAATCAGCCAGAAAGATGTGAACCAGGCATACTGGCTCCAGAGTCAGTACTCTGTGCCATCACTCCATACTGTCTGTTCAAAAAGCATCATGTTGAAAAGTTACTGGTTTCTTAGTCAAGTGATCAAATATTTTGCCAAGTACCTGCTATGTATAAGGTGCTACTCGAGGTATAGAAGGGCAGTGGGGGATTTGCCACACATCATTCTTCCCTTTACATCCAAGACCGAGGGATGGCTGGTCATTTAGAGCCTTTCCTTCTCATAAAATTGATGGCAAGACTACCAGAGCCCATAGTAGGCCCACTTTCTTGTACCACCATGTAAGGCATGTTTGCAAAAGTTTTAAACTCAAAACTCTTTATTGCGTTTTTCTGCTTTTTTGTCTTCATCCATTAGGAATATTGGACTTTTAGGAATATTCACCTCTTTCTAGTTTCCTGTACATTTTCACAGTAACCATTCTCTCAAATATCAGATGTCTTTGGAAAAGAAGCACTAGGCTGACCTCTGAATATGAAGTTAAATCTATGGTCTGGTTGTTCACAGAACTGCTCTTTGCTTTGGAGCTTTGTCAATACAGCTCCATTTCCTAGGCTGTCGTCTAAGTAGTGAAATCTGTTGCAGTTTCCAGGAGATTCGCTCGTACCTTCTGCCCACTTCTCTCCCTCTGTGGCTTAAACTCTTTAGTAGAGATAGTCAAAGTCTTTTGTTTTATACAAAATATGTTTGATTTGAATATCACTGGGTGAGAAAGCAAGTGGTCTAAAAGCAGGAAACAGTTCAGGATGTTTGGGGGGAAATCAAGGCCTGGTATTAACTAGTCCAAAGATAGACCCCACTACTCCTAGGCCTGCCTCAATCTTTTGTACCTCAATTTATTTCAATAATACTTTTCTGGAAAAAAAATTCTCAACTTAATCACTATAAGGCCTAACAGCACCATACTCTGTCCTTCTTGTATCTGCCACCAACTTCTCATTGTTACAGATTCTCCTACCATCTTCAAATGACTCTAATGTACTGTGTTCATGTCTTCAAAGCCCAGATAGTGGTTAAACGATATGTCCTTCTTCATAGGAGGTCTGTGTTGTGAGGGAGGCCATTCCAGTGTGATCTGGGGAAAAACTGCCACCTGACCTCTGTCTTTTGGAAGGCAAAGATTTCCTAAAGAAAAGGAAAATCTATAATTCCAAAAAGTTCATGTAGATACTACCCCAATCAAGGCAGTAGAGTTCCCCTCCTCATCCCCCTTTACGTGTGGGCTATACTTAGAAATTTGCTTCCAGAGAGAAGTGTACAGAAAGGAAGGGAAAATATAACTTTTAAAAGGAAGTGCAGAAACTTGGCCAACACAACCTTGGCCAGGTGAGGAGATTAACATCCAAAGCAGTGAGTCAGGTTGACAGTGTGTCCCCTTGATAAGATGTGGTGAGAAAATGAATTCATCTCTGTTGACTTCCTCCCAACAACCCATAATTCCCATCTAACCATAAGAAAAACGTCAGGCAAATCCAAATTAAGGGACATTCTACAAAAGTCTGACAAGTATTCATTGAAACTTCCAAAGACATGAAAAACAAGGAAAGTCTGATAAACTGCCATAGTCCAGAATAAGCTAAGGAGTCAGACTTTTGGCAATGAAATGTGTAGTCATTAAGGTTGAGGTCTATGACAGTGAGTGTGAAATATGTTTGGGATCATTTCTCATTTTCTGACTGGAATTATATACAACTATATAATGATTTCACTCTGTTTTATTGATAAAACTATTTTCATTCGATTCAAGCTAAGCTAAAATTTTCTTATAGATTCATATGAGAATCCTTAAAAATGCTGAATTTTTCTGAATTTTGTACATCATAAGTGAAGATACAGCCTGACATCAGATAAAAGAGTTTTTGACACATCTCACTGATTACCCCGCATAATTGGCACATTGTGTGTGTTTCTATAAAATTTTCTTCTGCATAGCTTTTTCTCTGACCTACCACTTGTTATGAGTACAGCTTTTCTTTAGCCTCTCAGCCTCTCTAGCTCTTACCATTTTATATTATCACATGGCCAGCAGGCATTTTATTCAAAGATTTGGCTTGTTTGGTATAAACAAATGTCACTATTTAGGTCCACAGGATAGAGGGTTTTTTTTTTTTGTCAAAGTAACAGATATACAGTATTTATAGCCAGAGAGTGTCTGTTCATCCTTTGTGGTTAATTTTATTTCACCATGAATTATTCTCTTCCAGTGTCGGATCATCAGAAGTTATAAATTTAGCTATAAAATATAAGGAAAGAAATATATATAAGAAAAAAACACATAACCTTTACAGCAGTGAAATTCTACAAAAGTCATCCAGTAAGTAATTACCACTGATATATATTTACAGTGTTATTATTTTACTGATTGATATGAATAACAAATAGCTACTGTGTGTGCCAGGAATATTGGTGTTCCTTAATAAACTTGAAAGGAAGGTCCTGAGACCCCACTTAACAAAGGAGGAAAGTGAGGCTCAGAGACATTAAGTGACTTGCCCAAGGCTGCACAATGTACAAGCGACGGACATGTAAGATCTAAGCCAGAAAGCACATGTAACCTGCCCACTATAGTTCCCAAAATAGCGTTGGCACAGAATGTTAATTCTTTCCCCAAAGTGTTTAGAGATGAAAATGAATAGAAACAAATTTTGCTCTTAGGAAGCCCATAGCCACCCAGAATGATGCATTTGTTTAGTTATTGGCTGACTAGAAACATAATTATAAAAAAGTAATTGAAACAAAGGAATCATTATTATACTCAAGTGTATTATTTAACTGTGTGGTGATTGCCAGAGGGAAAGGGGTTGGGGGAGGTAGAAGAAGGTAAAGGGGGGATAAATGGTGGTGGAAGTGATAAACACACAATACAGTGTTCAGATGATGCATTGTAGAATTGTATACCTGAAATCTGTACAATTTTATTAACCATTCTCATCCCAATAAATCAATTAAGAAAAAAGAAGCATAGGGAGAATCAGTCCTGAGGTTCCATCATGATGAGACTATTTCACATACTATGAATCTTTTTCCAACTATGTCCACAGGGAAGCTGCACTTTCAGAGAACAGATATTTTAATTTTAGAATTTGGGTTGAAATTTTTCTGTCAAAAGGTACATCCTTATTTGTTAATATTCAATGCATATTTATAAACTGATCTACTCCATAGGATTTTTGTCAGGATTACAAGAGATATTATATGTAAAGCACTTAGAAAAGTGCCTGACATATTATAGAAACTCAATGCAATTTTATTAGCAACTGGAGGCCCAATGCATGAAGTTCATGCACGGGGGGTGGGGGGGGGGGAGTGTCCTTCAGCCTGGCTGGCACCCTCTCCAATCTGGGACCCCTTGGGGGATATCTGACTGCTGGTTTAAACTGGCAGTCGGATGTCCCTCTCACAACTCGGGACCGCTGGCTCCTAACCGTTTGCCTGCCTGCCTGCCTGATCACCCCCAACTGCCCTCCCCTGCTGGCCTGATCGCCCCCAACTGCCCTCCCTTGCCAGCCTGATCGCCCCCTAACTGCTTGCTCCCCCCACTGGCCTGATCACCCCTAACTGCTTGCTCCCCTGCTGGCCTGATTGCCCCTAACCGCTTCTGCCTCAGCCCCTGCCACCGTGGCTTTGTCCGGAAGGAAGTCGGATGTCTGGAAGATGTCCGGTTGACCCGGTCTAATTAGAATATTACCCTTGTATTAGTATAGATGTTACTATTGTTATTATTATACCTTGGAACACAACCTTTGGAGTGAAAGATATTTGAGCTTAAGCCCAAGGTCTATGTTTACCAGCTATGTAAATTCGGGCAAGTTATTAAAACATCTTGAGCCCCACCTCTATGTCCTTATCTGTCAGCAGGGCATAATGGCATGTTACAGGTTGTGGAGATTTCTCCTTTGGTTTGACATAACACACTGCTTCTCAAACTTTGTTCTCCAGCCTAACGGCATCAACACCACCTGGAACTTAGAAATGTAAGTTCCCACCCCACCCTACTAAATAAGAAACAAAGTGGTGTATAGTCGTTAGTTTATGCTTTAACAAGTCCTCCAAGTGAGTCTGAAGCCTGGCAAAGTTTGAGAACCACTGACAGCACAGGACCTGTCCCATAGCAAGTGCTGAGTCTGTATCAGTTTACTTTTCCTAGATCCTGAGCCATCACAATGACCAAAGCTCAGTTCCCATCTCTGCAGAGTTAACTATCAAAAATACAATCACATCCTGAATTGTAGGCTTCCAATCTATTGTCCACTTATCCTCTGAAGCAAAGAGAAAATGTTTTCATTGTCCAAGACTATGCTTTTACGGGTGTGTGATCAAAAGAGGTTTCCTTTCCATCATCTCATTGTATGCATCATATATACAACAACACAGCTCTGGTTTACATGTTGGCAAAATGAGAAGGTACCTGCAAATGCAAACATTTAGAGATGTTGTTAAACTAAATGCTTAAAAAACAGATTTCCTGTCACAGAGACTACAATTTTCTTATAGATAAAAGAGAAACTGAAGCTTTTCTAAAACTGCAGAATACTAATTTTCAAGGGAAAATAGCAAAAGAGTAGAAAAAAAATGAATGGGGAGCTTTGGGTTGCTTTTGATTCCTTTGCATGAAAGGACCATGGATTTATTGTGAACAGCTGTGCTTATAGGGTTTGCTGATGACTGCAGCTGAACCAGCTGAGTAACAGGAAGGTTAAATTTTAAAAAAAATTAACTTGGAAATATGCTGGCTCCTTCTGAGGAATTAAATATTGGACTTTTATTTCTATCTTCCCCCCAACACCTGCTGTTGTGAAGGTGTATTTAGGTCATTAAGCATCGGAGTCCTGAAAGAGCTACCGGAAGTGAATAAACCGGCTTTTCTTCTGGACCCTGAGAAATACTTTAGGGAAGAGCCAGAGGAGGCGTGTCCCCAAACTCCAGAGCCCCCATCGCTCTCTGAGAGTAAGTCCACAGCCATTGTCCACTTCTGCATCCCTCCCTATGAAACTCAATCAATTAGAAAAGTAAAGTAGAAATGAAAGCCTCACGTGTTTGCCTTCTGGGTTGCAGTGAAATGAGGTGTGGTTTGACTGGTAAGATTTATAGCTCAGCGGCTGATCAGTGCTCTCGGAAGGGACAGCCAACACGCTGGGATACATTAAAAGAATATTTTTATTTTGTCACTTTTCTCAAGTCAGAATGCCATGAAGATATATTATGAGTTGCTATGGATGGGAAGTCTTCCCGCCACGTAATCTTAATTTTCAAACATACCCGAGAAAGAGACAATCATAAGGCTGCCTTAGAGCAGAGTCTCTGCCCACCTGGTTTTGTTCTTTTCATGTAAAACACTACAAATAAAAGGCTATTATTTTTTTAAATTTATCTTTATTGTTGAAAGTATTACAGATGTCCCCTTTTTTCCCCATTGACCCCTTCTAGCCCGCCCTACCCCCCACCCCAGGTCTTCCCCACACTATTGTCTGTGCCCATCGGTTATGCATATTTGCATATAAATTCTTTGGTTAATCTCTTCCCACCCATCTGAGATTCTGTAGTCTTGCCCCATGTTTCTATGTCTTTGGATATATTTTGTTATTATCAGTTTATTTTGTTCTTCAGATTCCACATATGATCGAGACCTAGAGGGTATTATGCTAAGCGCAATAAGCCAGTCAGAGAAAGATAAGTATCACATGATCTCACTCATATGTCGAATCCAAAGAACAAATAGAGGCTACTTAAAATGTATTGTCTTGGAGCCTTCCAGCTGCAGTGCTAGGCTAATATGATGAGTAGACAAGAAAGCTGAACTTAGGAAATACAAGTGAATGCTCTCTCAAGATTCGGAAACAAGATGTGTAAAAGGATGCTCTGTTTTTCAGCCTGATATAGGCTTCTAAGACTTTGAAAAATAATATCTGTGAAAAAATGTTCCCTGTAAGGAGAGGCCCTGCGGGAGCGCAGACAGCACAACCTGATTCTCAGTGAGGCAGTCAGAAAGCATATGGACACCACAGGGAACTCATTTAAAATAATTAATGAAAAGTGCAAGTTTCAGCTCGTAACAATCAAAAGATCAGAACTACACTCCAACCATCTTCTGAGATCTGTGGTTTCTAAACTTTTCCAATTCTCGAGATGGAGATTCGGCATCCTCCTTGAGAAATAATAACCCTGTAGGAAGGAGGCATTTCTTCATGTCCATGCTTGAGGAAGTTCAGGCCTCTTGTCTTTGCTTGGTTCCCTATGGAAAGGGAGAACAGCTGGTCGACATTTTTTTAAAATTTTTTTTATTGTCTAAAGTTTTACATATGTCTCCTTTTTTCCCCAATTGACCCCTGCCCCCCAGCCATTCCCACCCCGGGCAAGCCCTCACCGCCCCAGCATCTGTGTCCACTGGTTATGCTAATATGCATGCATACAAGTCCTTTGGTTGCTCTCTAACCGCCCTCCTCTACCATTTGTCTCTAGATCAATCTATTCTTGTTCATCAAATTATGTTGATCATTAGATACCACATATGAGTGAGATCATGTGGTATTTATCTTTCTCCGACTGGCTTATTTCACGTAGCATAATGCTCTCCAGTTCCACCCATGTTGTTGCAAATGTTAAAAGTTCCTTCTTTTTTATAGCAGCATAGTATTCCATTGTGTAGATGCACCACAGTTTTTTAATCCATTCATCTGCTGATGGGCACTTAGGCTGCTTCCAAATCTTAGCTATGGTAAATTGTGCTGCTATGAACATAGGGGTGCATATATCCTTTCTGATTGGTGTTTCTGGTTTCTTGGGATATAGTCCTAGGAGTGAGATTACTGGGTCAAATGGGAGTTCCATTTCTAACTTTTTGAGGAAACTCCATAGTGTTTTTCACAGTGGCTGCACCAGTCTATTCCCACCAGCAGTGCAGGAGGGTTCCTTTTTCTCCACATCCTCGTCAGCACTTGTCCTTTGTTGATTTGTTGATGGTAGCCATTCTGACAGGTGTGAGATGGTATCTCATTGTTGTTTTGATTTGCATCTCTCGGATGATTAGTTACTTTAAGCGTGTTTTCATATGTGACATTTTTAAAAATATATATATAATTTCAGAGAGGAAGGGAAGGGGAGAGAGAGAGAAATGTCAATGTGAGAATCATTGATAGGCTGCCTCCTACAAGTCCCACCCTGGGGATGGAGCCCACAACCCAGGCATGTGCCCTGACTGGGAATCGAACCGTGACCTCCTGGTTCATAGGTCAAAACTCAACCACTGAGCCAAGCCAGCTGGGCCTTTTTTTAAAAATTTCACCTGTAAGCACGGTGCAGTTGTCATTCCTCATTGCCAGTTTCCAGTCTAATTATTATCACTTCCTTTGCCTTTGCTCAGAGTTTCTCTTTCCTAAATTAACAATCATTCATTTGCTCTCATGAGGATCATCCATGGCTTCTGCTCATTTCTTTTAAAAACATGAATCCATAAGCATTAAGGATCGAAATAACCTTTAGTGCAACTGACAGGGCTTTCAGGGTATCATCCCATTGTTCTCCCCCAGGGTGATTCATCTTTAAGAATAAATATGGGGAGTACTTATCTAGTCCTCCTGAGTCACAGACAGAAGAGTATGGGGAACAGACAGAAAAGCTCCAGAGAGCTAAGACAAAGTGTACAACAGTTGAGACATAGAACACGCCCATGGGAGGAAACCAGGATGGAGCCTGGAGTCAGAACTGAGGCAAGAGAAATGGGTGACACAGCATTCAGAAGCCGGAGAGCAGGAACTGAGAGAGCTGGACAGTCAGTGCAGCAACACCTCTCCTCAGCCCTGGGAAAGCCTGTTTATGTGAGGAGCCTTGTGTATTCTCCTTCATCCACAGATGACGTCTCCTAATGGGCAGGGAGAATGGGTGTGTGGAGAGGCGAGGTGGATGGCTGGATGGAAATACCTACAGTACCTAAAAGACACTAATACATTTTCAAAGAGATTTATTTTTTCTGAGTTTGTCCATTTAAAAATTTCTTGTGATTTTTTTTTGGAAAAATAATCTGCCTTTTATTTGTTCCGTAAACTTACAGTGAGGTTCCTGGTAGCTCTCAATTAGAAATAAATTATTTAGAAATGAGATTAGCAATGTCTTCTGTGTTTCAGGAGTGGCAGCTTAAGAATTAAAACAGAAATAGATATCATCTAGGTAACATTAGGGGGAATTTTCTTTTTAAACTTTTATTGTTGAATGTATTACATATGTCTCCTTTTTTCCTCCATTGATCCCTTCCAGCACACCCCTGCCCCAGACCTTCACCACACTATTGTCTGTGTCCATGGGTTATGCGTATGTGCACACAAGTCCTTTAGTTAAAAAATTTCTTGTAATTTCCACATAGTTTTGAAAAGGTGTGCTTTTTTCTTTTGCTTGTTAAATTTTCTTCAGCTTTTTCTTTCTTTGCCTTTTCTGCAAGTGAAAATAGTTCATTTTTTT